TTCTTGCCAACTGAGCTTCAAGGATAGGCAGGCAGCTGGTGTTTCATTTAGTTCTTTCTACCAGTCTACTAGAAGGGTGTTTCCGTAATGCATCTTTGACAAAACGCAATGTGATCAGGTGGCCAGGTTTCCCTTTTAAAATACTTAGACACAAAGATTACATAAACATACAATGTTGTTTCCTGCTTCTTTGGTCTGTTGTGAATGACAATATTCTGACCAAAGAAGCACCTGTACAGATAGAACCTAAGCCTTCTTATGTCCAAGCATAGGGGGAAAAACACTTCATTATTTTAATCTGGTCAGAACAGGATCTGAAACAAGGCCATTCAGACAGTATTGTAATGATAGTAAAGTGATTGTCCTACCTGGTACCCAAGGCCATTCAGACAGGATTGTAATGATATTAAAGTGATTGTTCTACCATTTAAAGGCCTCAACTTCTTGCGGCCTAAGCCAGAGGAAACACTGAATTTTCTTTACAATATTGAGCTACTACTTTATAAATGACAGAATCATTTTAGGGTACAAGAGGTGCTTTAAATGTGGTAACTTTATATCATTTCAACTATAATGATCATAATTACTTATTTCTTTTAATCACGACCCACTTAACCACTTTAGTGCAGAGGAATAGTTCAAGGAGTTTAATTTCCATTCAACATCTAATCTTCATGTTTACCAAAACCCTTCATGGGCTTTGTTTACTGTCTGCTCGCTGGCCTGGACGTTTGATCTTACAAGACTGGATCAGACGGGGTCAGATAAAACACTGATTACTGGAATAAAGCAGTCATGGTAAGTAACACTGGCTTTTGAAAATCACCCCAGCTTCCCCATTTTGCAAATAAACTCAAATGCACAAATGTGACAGTTAACAACCAGAGATTTATCTTACAAAATAATGAGAGGGGAAAAAAAGATGGCAATAAAGTGATCATGCATTTTACCCTAACTTTGAGGAGGGCATCGCTTAGTCCACTACATCTAGAAACAGTATTATGTGACAAATAATTTTTTGACAGCTTCAACAACATTCAGATGAACTGCCAATGACCTCTGAATTACTAATTCATGGGCTATACATGAGATTGAATTTAAGATTCTAAACTGCTCAAAAATTACAAAACAACCTGCTTTATGCTCAGTAGTAGTAGAAGAAAAAAATTTTAAGTATAAACTAAGTAGGTTCCATTAAATCATTAATTTTTCTTTTGAACCTCATTTGGAAGTATTCTATATGAGCATTTCTTTGCTGGGACACACTCCTGTCCGGCACCTAGCACAGAATGTGGCATGCAGAAGGAGTTTAATAAAATGTTTGCCAGCTAATAGTCTGGTTACTTCATAGAATTAGGCCACAATAGTGTTTGTAAACTACATCATTAAAAGTGTATAATAGTAAATAGGATAAAATAAGTGTACATACAAACCAAGTTCATGCTATGGTGAGAAGAGGTATAAAGGGAGGCAATTCTTTAAAAGATTTGCTCTTTCATCTTGATTGATCAAATTCCTTAAAACTAAAAATTATTATATAGGGCATACATCTTAAAAATAATATTTCAAAAATCTAAATATTTCAATTTCACGATAGATTATATCAAGTCAACCAACACTAAAAAATAACACTTGGGATTGGGAGCAAAACTCTCAACAATTAAACAATCATTGCCATATTTTCTACAGGAAAACAATAAACTCAAAATTATGAGCTTGCAAAACAGCCAGCTATATGGGGACTGACATTGTAGTACTGTGTGTAGAATAATAAGGAGCAATTTCTTAACCACTGTATCACCCTCCACAATATTCTGACATACAAAACAACTAGGTAGCTGGCTTACAGAATTAGAGATAGAAACATACAAGCAGCCTATTCATTTTTTAAAAAGTATTAATAGTAACTCCAATACCCCTGGGTAAACCATAACTGTCTCTGAAATTAAAGAGAAAACAATCTATCCTAATGTGATCATTACAGAAAAGAAAGTTAACATACTAAGCAAAACTAACTTAGGACTTTTTAAAGAATAAGTGTAAATAGTTAAGCTATATTTACAGTAAGTCCAACAAAATGCATACTGAGAATGTTTACTTCAAATTTCATACAGTTCCATTTGTATATAGTTTTTACATCTGTTGTTAATGATATCAAATTATTGATTATTCACTTTCTCATATTTATTTAAGCATTAGGTATAGAATCTGCAATCTGATGCTTTTTTCCTCCTTCCAATAGACTTTTATTTTTGCTGGGTTTTAGTCATATTTACTTTGATCTTTCAGAGTATATAATTATTTTACTGTTTATTTATTTCTATGAGAAAGGAAAAAAAGCTTGACCTAAGAGATCTATATGTGGCAATTTGTAACGGAATCACATAGCTTACATTTAGGAAATCATGGTTTTGATTAAGAAGCAACCATTTAGTTCCCACTGTTTTATTAAAACAGACATTAGCAGATAATAGGAAACATATTTAACACTGTACACTGCATTTAGCTTGTGACATCACTAAGGTTATTTTGAAACTCTCTTCTATGTTGTATATCTTCCACTGTACATAGAAACTGGCTGCTTGGGGATGGGAATGGAGAAAAGAGCACAGAAAAGAGCACAGCCCTTTGTATTCCCAGGCAGATTTCTGTTTGCCTTTTTTTTTTTAGAACTGTTTTCCAGACTTGGAAAATCATGGACCTCTTATAAATTTTGAAAAACAAACAAAAAAAGCATATATGAACTACCAATGTATTAACTAAATCATCTCTTTCACATGTGAAATGTGTGAACCTGGACTGAAAAAATTAACTACACAATAGAGATTGTACTGAACCACATATACCAAAAAATAAATGCAACAATTCTTTTATGAGAGTTGCAAGTTATTTAAATGAAGTACTCTGGATGTTTATTTTCCATATATCACTATACCTGTCATGAATTCTTTATTTTTCCTCCCACTCCTTTGGTTGATGAATCAACACCACTTGAACTGTTTTATGGCAGCTTGTGTTTACTTCACACATACCTTAACCTTCCCTTTTCTCCTCCTACTCTCTCATTCTCTTTCATATTCTCTCTCTCTCTCTCTCTCACACACACACACACACACACACACACACACACACACACACACACACATAAACGTGTATATGTCACACACATACACACTGTGAAACATCAAGGACTAGCTACATCACTTTGAACAGTATGTGTACCCAGTGTCAGGCAAACTCTTTAGGTTTGGATCCTTGACCCCTTGATTGAAATCAAGGTCTCATTCTGATTTTACTGCACTTAAAGTTTTAACTGTGCACTTACTAACTAAAAAGAGACAGGTGGAGCTTAAAGAATTGAATGCTCTAAGAAAGAAAGGAAGAAAGTGGAAGATGCACAAAAAAAAAACACTTGGAATCTGTAGTGGCAACTATAAGAACCCTACAGTGAAGGGCTTCCAGTCCCTCTAAGACTGGCATTACACCCTGGTCTATTGAAATAGGAAGCTTGATGCAATTTGCTTATAACAGCAAGTAAATATGATCTACCAAATGACCTTGAAACTACATAACTCTTTTGATTTTTAGCCAAGAGGATATGTTCAAGCACTTTAAAAAAATTTCCCTTTAAAAAAAAAAACAAACTTGGAGACATTTATGAAAAGAAACACTTGTGAACCACACAATAATGTTTTATAATGAGAAGGAACTATTCATTGTATGCTGCACAAGGGTCAATATTAATAATACCACATAGAAAGTACTCAAACCAGAAAAGAGTCCTAACGATTTTAGAATAGGTTGAAAAGAAATATATCAATTCAATTTCAGAGCATTTAATTTCCCATATGTAGGTCAACACCTTGACTTTCTTCATAAATATAGTTCAAATAGAAAGGTATTATTCTTTTCATACAATTAAAAATATTTCCACAGTATTGCACTTCTTAAAAGATAACTTTGTAAATAGGTACAAAAATGTTTACTATCCTACAAGAATTATTTTTCAAGCTTGTCTTTCCAAAGAAAATCTCCAGGTTGTAAAACCAATTTATCAATTGTTTCTACTCACCACTATAAATTGGTATTTGCTCTGGCACAGAGGGTTAGTTAACTGGTGATAAGGCAGTATTTACACTTACATATAATGGGGAAGGGACTAATAAGCACTAAATATATACAACGTGGAAAACATTCATTTTAGCATCAGAATGTTATCTTAAAAAATTAGATCTCTCAAGATGCAGGGAAATTAACTTAAACACATTATTATTATATATGTGCTCATTAGCATTTTCTAATACCACCCTAAAATTCTATAAGGGAAATTTTAAAATAAAATAGTATTTTAAAGGGCCTGGTACTTCAACAACATGTGCAAAAAAGGTATTTGGGGGAGAGATCAAAATTCACTTTATAATTACTTGTAAATAAATATGGTACTACCACCTGACCAAATTCTATTTGATATAATAACATCATGATCATTCCAATAAATCCAGCATTATTTAAATAAGTACTCCTTCAGCCCAAAAAGACAAATATATAGTATTCTTGAACAAAATCTAGTAAAATATTTTCTATACCAGTTATACTTTTAAAAATACTATATGTAATAATATATCATTTCATTATATAATCACATAGATATACATCTATTTATATATCTACCTATGTATTTTCTACATAGATAGAGATACAGATATAGGCTTGAGTCTTTTGACAGGTGACCATTCTGTGTAAACTATCAGCCATATACAATGCAACAAAAGCATTTTCTTTAAATTACTTTTCATTCTCACACACTAATTTTAAAGAACTGAATTTAGACCACATTACAGAAAGATTTAAATATCCTCTTTTTATGAGAAATTACATGTGTGGTGCTATATTTTTAAACTACTAGGGGCTTAATATTAGTACTAATTCCAAAGAATCAACAATGCATTTGCCTAAGAAAGATTCAAGAAGAAACTTTAAAAACAATTAAGGTGAATTACCTTTAATCTTCTTGTACTTTTTATACCATCTCCCAAACTCCTGGCACTTGGTTGCTGACACATTGGCATAATATGTGCTATTTACAATGGATGAAATCATGCTCTAGAAAAGAGAAAAAAAAATTTCTAAAACATCTCCCAAAAATCTTTCAGTGACACTGAAGGGCACACTACATTGCTCACACCAAACATTCCTTGTGTCCTAATCTAAAATACTCTTGTCAAAAAAAAAATCAACTTTATTTTCTATTTCTTTTTGTCAGGCACAATTAACTGAGTTCATTCCTAAAGTAAAAAGAAAGGAGGAATGCCTCTAAACTTAGGGGAATCTCTCAGTTTATATTTGAATAATGTCTTTTTTCCAAAAAGCCTATTAAGAAGCAGTCTCATACAGGGGGACAGACACAAAGATTAAACACAATGGGTGAGAATAATTGTGATTTAGGAAGCAGATCCTAAAGGTAAGATGAGATGCTCCAGCATGTATAATCCAAATAATGCTTTTCAGATGTTTTCTGTTCCGCTTCCAACTGCAACAAGACCACACAGCCAAGAATCTGAGAACATTCGTGCTACTCACTGCAGAACAACAGTTAGGCAAATAAGTTAAATTAATATAATTTATAGAAACGTGTGATTAGCACTTGGGTGAAAATTCACCAAATGAAAAAGTTAACAGTACTATTTAGAGCAAAGTAAACTAAACATAATACTGTATGGTTTCAACCATTCAAGCTGAAACTTTCAGATTTCTCAGTTCCCTTGCCTCTACCATGCCCACCCATTCTTCTCCCACTCCCAAAATTTTCCATTTTGTCTATCAACTTATTTGTAACCATTGCTTTATGGTACTTAGGAAGAGAAGACAAACATAACCTGAATCTGAGACCTGAATTGACAAAATAAAATAATAGTTGTATATTTAAAAGGAAATTTTTCCTTTAGAGAAATATATGCAGTTAGCATGGATGCATTAGGGGCATGTGTATTTGAACAGAGAGAAAGGTTTGTGCCAGTTTTCAATTTTACACGTGATTGGCTTGGTGTTTTGTGCGTGTGTTTTAGTTTGGTGTTTTTGTTTTTGTTTTTTTATTCTACCAGAGCTGTAGTATTTTTGTCAATCGTGTGTGGACGTAAACAAACCAGGAAGTCAAATGAACCATGTAAAGCTTTTATATCTTTTCTTGAAATCATATCTTTCAGAAAAATCATCCACAGACATGTATGAGTTCAGAAAACAAAAACATCAGAACGTCTGATGACATTTCTACATAGTGCTAGGAATAAAGGGGATGGCAATAAATCAAGACAATGGCAAGTGATTTACCAGGAGATTCAAACTCCAGCAGTTCCCTGTAAGCTGACATTCAAAATACTACCCCTTTGCAAGATCAAACTTGTGTCTCTCAGTCTATCTGGCATTGTGTTCTAAGACCTTACATCTTCTCTGGGCTTCCGCTAACTCCATCCTTGGCCCACGGACTTACTCCAGTACAACCTCGAGTGACTCCCACTTTTCCCAGAATTCACAACGTTCTGAGGCTTTTCTTTTCTTCCTTGTCTTTTCTGATGCTGTACTTTAAAATCAGTCCTTTAAAAGAGCCCACAAAAACTAGTTCCATTTACAAAAAGTATTTTTTGCCCCTTTCAACACAGCAGATAACTACCAGCCCTGTGTTGCTACTGCCTTTTAGGTGGAATGCAGAGAATACATCCCCTGACACCAATTTCTACAATGTAAGTCTTTATCAAAGGAAAGAAAGCATGATGAGTGGATCTGTTCATCCCAGAATTTGAAGAGTCCAGCCTAAAACAAAGTGTTAATATCACCTAACAACTCAGTGATGTCCCTCCTTCCCTCAAAGCATTAATCCTCAGCATCCAAGAGGCAGTACTCTCCTTTGCAGATCATTAAGCAGGCTGGTAAAGTTGCCTCACAGCCCTCTTCACCTTACCATTCCCCTATTTCTAAGCTTAGACCAAGCATAGCACACTGGAAAGAAACCCTGATCCAGTAGTCTGTGGATTTGAATTCTATTTCAGAACTTGCTATATGACACTGCAGAGTCATTATCTGTCTCTGGGCATTAGTTTCAAAAAGTGAGTGCAATTGGACTAGATCAAGCACCCTTTCTGGACTAATATTCTAGGAGTTTATGAGTCCTCTTCTGATGTACTGTTCTGATATAGGAAAATCAATCAACAAGGATTTATTAAATATATACTGGGCAAGGCACTTACAAGTACAAAGACTGAAACAATCCCTAGTCATAATAAGCTTACATTCTGATGGGGGAGATAACAAGGACATATAAAGATCAATAAGGGATCATTTCAGAATAAGTAGATAGGTGAAAGGGAATTGAAGACACTTCACATTGTAGAAATAGCATTATTAAAATTTTCATCTGAAAGCTGTCTAAAAGTAGACAAAGTCTCTACAAATCCATGCATGTGATAGTGCAAAAGCCTTGGTGACTCTTCTGTTTGGTCACTTCATCTGGGTGAACGTGGCCACCTGGCAAGCAGGAAAGGACACAGACCTTCATCAGGAGTCATGGTTGAGTAGCAAGACCACTGAGCTCACTATGTGGCCAGTCAGACTACAAAGCTACCCAAAACAGGAGATGCCTCAGGCTTCACTTGAAGCCACTGTTCTAAGCCTCAAATCCAAATCACCCTGGATCTCCACGATCTACCTTTCCTTCTATTTGTGGATCACCCCTGCTTCCTTCTGGCTCTGGCCTTTAATTAATATCAATGGCTGTATATGGAAGAAAATGAGCATTTTTCTGACTGGTCCATTATCAAAGTTCCAGTACTGGAGAAATTTTACATGCTTTGTTTAAAAGAAAGAGGTACAACAATAGGCCTTGTTCATTTTCCCAGCTTATTATTCATAGATTGATAATAAGCTGGTTTCCATCTCTGCTAGCACAGAACAAAAAGAAAAAGATTTAAAGTGCAGAGTAAAGGAATTAGATTAAACATGAAGAAAATTTTCCTGATAATGAGGTTTTTTTGAGATGATAGAAAGAATTTCCCAAAAAAGGGCCATAGTAGCTTCTTTTCAGGAGAGCTTTAAAAATTACATAGACATATTTGGGAAACTTTAGATATCATGAAAATACAGGGACATGTGAAATGACTTTCAAGATCCTTTTCTGCCATATAATTAGGTAAAAATATATATAAATTGGCCCTAAAACACATTGTACATTTTTTTCATGACTTGAATCCAATCCAATGGAACCTTACCATAAAAGCATCCAGGGGTCCATCTGTAGAATAATCTTAATGTTGAAAATGGGAATTTTTCTTTTAAAAACTTCAGTAACCAAGCCACCTTTGAAGGATCCAAGATAGAAAGACCTCATGTCAAATTCTATTCTTTAGAGGTCCAGGATTCAAGGTTTCAGCGTCCCTTAGTACATTGTTTTTCTCTGACACTCATTTTCAGATAGTAGCCACAGACCTTCTCTTGTCTCCATATATAATCAATGTGGTAGGACACATATGTTATGCATACTACCTGGAGCCTGAGGATGGTGGATTGTTTGAGCTTGGGAATTCTGAGCTGCACTTGGATTAAAGTCAATCATATGTTCATACTAAGACCAATACCAATATGATAAGCCCCTATGGGGGGAGGTGGAGATCAGGTAACCGAGGAGGGACAAACTGGCCTAGGTCAGAAATGGAGATCAAAATTCTCATACCAATCAATAGTAGGATAGAGTCCATGAATGGCCTCTGTACTTTCAACATAAGCAAGATTGGCAGATCCAGTTTCAAAGAAAAAATTAGGTCTATGTGTGTATGTAATATATATGTAAACTACATAGACATATAATTATAATTAATATATGCATATAACTATATTACATACATACATACGCATGCACACACACAAAGGGGAGGGATCTACCAAAGATAATATAGCCACCCTACAAAACATTTACAGTGATGACTGTAGCAAATGATGACTCTACCATTAATAATTAATGAAATAAATTTTCATATGTAAATAGAACTTTCCTCTAATGACCTCAAATTACTTTACAAATTAGTTTATTCAGGGGCAGCTAGGTGGCCACAGTGGATAGAGCACCAACCCTGGAGTCAGGAGGACCTGAGTTCAAATTCAGCACTCATTAGCTATATGACCTTGGGCAAGTCACTTAACCCCACTGCTTAGCAAAATACAAAACAAATAAACAAACAAAAAAACAAATTAGTTTATTCAATGAATATTTACTGACTGACAGGATGTATAGCCCTTTTGACAGTGAGGGGTGATATCTCTTTTAAAAGTGAGTACACAAACAGAAAATGAAGCATCCTGTCCAAAGTCAAATAGAATTACCAGGCATCTATCGTATGTACTAGGCTAGGTGTAAGGAACTTGCTGTCTCTAAGCCACATGTGGCCCTCTAGGTCCTCAAGTGCATCCCTTTAACTAAATCCAAACTTCACAAGACAAATTCCCTTAATAACAGGATTTGTTCTGTATATCTCAGACTCAGTCAAAAGGCTGCACCCAAGGACCTAGAAATCTACATGTGGCCTCAAGGCCGCAGGTTCCCCACCCCTGCTCTAGGTCACATTATTTTGGATGTTTCTGAAGGTTAAGATGGAAGTATTCATTAAGTAAGGGAGGTGTTACTAACTTCATCAGAAACAGCAGTTTCTACAGCCAACAGTGTAGTAGCTTCATTGAAAGTTAGAGATTAGATGGCACACATAACAATGTAAAATTATAACCCCAGATTACCTGTAGACAAATCATAATAAGGAAGTTTAGAATTAGATTAAATTATGTGACCTAACGACAATTTTCAAAGTTTATAGGAACAGCCAAAATGAAAAACTAAAGTTACAATTGTTTGTATGACATATTTGGAAAGAAGAATTCTTACCAATAAAGAAATAAAGAAAATAATCAGATTACCTTCCCCCAACAACCTCCCAAACTTTAGCTTGAAAGCTATTATTGGTTTGAATAGCAACTTTATGCTAAGGGCATCTAAATATGGAAGTACATAATATAGCTAGGGTTTTTGTTTGTTTGTTTGAAATAATAATTTTAGAGCAAAGTAAATT